TGGCTTGTTGTGGGCTGGCCAGCCACCCCGCAGCACAGGGCGGGGCTCGGCGGGGGGTCCCCGCTGCCCCGCAGGCTGGGGGCCCCCGGCTGCCAGGACCGGCTGGCTGGTGGGGTGACACCGGGGGATCCCCCGGGCTGGGGCAGGGGGTCCCGGGTGCCAGCCAGGGTCACCCAGCTGAGGTGGGAGGGAGAAGGGTCCTGCAGCAGCCCCGGGCCCCAGGTCAGGGGGGCGTGGGGGCAGCTTGCTGCCCCGAGAGGCTGCTGGGGCACCCCAGGGAGCGCCGGGGTCCCGGGGACACCCCATCGGCGGAGCGGCCGGGGGAGACGCGGCCAGAGCCCATCGCTCTCTATAAATCCCCGGGGGAAGGCCATGGGCGGGAAGCGCCGGCGGAGCCCGAGGACAATGTTGGCAGCAGAACGGAGGGGCAGGAGCCGGCCGCGGCTGGGGGTGCGGGGAACCGCTGCGGCCAGAAGCGGGGTGCAAGGGGCGGCTCTCCCGGGGCACGGGGATGGAGCGGTGCCCCCCTGCCTGCAGCTCCCCAGCCCTCAGGGTGCGGGGCGGCCCCCGAGCACCAGCCACAGCCCCACGGCGGGACACGACGCGCACCCGTCACGCCGAGCTCAAACCCTGCGCTCCCAAACCGGCCGTGGGGCCGCGGACACCCCGGGGTGAGCTGGCACCCAGCGGGCACCCGTCCCAGGAAAGGCCCGGGCTGAGTCAGCGGAGCTGCTAAGGAAGGGGACGGGGCACAAGTGGAAACGCTCGTGCCTATGACAGCATCGCTGCTACGGGGAAATGGAGGAAAGGAGGAGGCGGCAGCAGGCAGTGAGCAGTGGGCAGCGGGCAGGGGGCCACTTCTCCATGACCCAGGGCCGTGAAACCCCAGCGTGGCCCGAGGCTTGCCACCAGCAAGCAGTGAATCCGGGCGCACACGCTGCCCGTGGAGGAGCCACGGTGGGATCCGGGTGCTCGTGCAGGACCGTTTTTGCTCTCGCCATCGCTGGCACTGCCGGCTCTGGGTGCGGGGCCAGGGCCAGTGGCACGACGAGGGGACCCACAGGCATGGCTGTGCTGCCTGCATGCACAGGGCGAACTGCTCGCCGAGGAGGGGGCTTAGTGCAGATAGGAGCCCCCACAGCAGCCAAAGCCCCAGGCCCCGCTCTGGGTGCCAGGGAGGGGGAGGTGGGTGGCAGGAGGGCTTCGGCTCCGGCTCCCCTCTGAGCTGCCCCTCTGCCACGCCAACGCTTCCAGCCGCAGCCCCCCGGGCCCCGCCCCCCCGGGCGCGCTCCCCGCCC